GTAAGGTAAAGACCCTACAATAATACAAAGAAAACTCAGAGCCAGAGTTTCATTTTAAGCGTCGTTATAAGACCATTTTTAGCAGAAAAGCTCAATTCTGCAGGAGTCAGTTATAGGTAAATTTAGTCAGGGTCACTCTAAAAAGAAAAAATATTTCCATGTGCAGCGATGTCCATGGCTCTGGGAAGCAGCAATAAGCCCCCGGCTCTGAGTAGAGTAGCATTAAAAGGTTATGCTGGGGAGGAGGTGGGTTACAAAGCAGCATGCAGGTATAGGCAGGCTAAAGGAGCTTAAAGAGTGTGCCCATATTGAGAACTGTTATTCTCATCGCCTGCCTGAACGAACACTATGTGTGACTTTCGGTGGCTCGAATAATAACAAAGAGTCGACTCTGATCACAGACACTTAATGATGCCACTCACCTTGGCGTAACCCGCGTCTGCTCATCAGTTGGATGGAGGATCCGGCAGGTTGTAAAGGTGTAAGTGGAGCTGGTGTGAGCCATGCATTTACCTGGGTAGTATGCAGCTGGAAGTGAAACACACACAGCCCGTCACTGTCAGTCAGCACTTTTTAGCCTTTTGTACATGTTCAACAATGTGGAAGTATTTATGCACTATACTGCCAGAAGTGTTTGCTCACCTTCACACGCATATGAGCTTGAGTGAAATCCATTCTTAATTATACTTTTGGCAGTATAATGTATTTAGAGTCAATGAAAATTTACTATATGTCCTCACCCAGAGCATCGGTGTTGCTGAGGTGTGGTGATGGTGATGGTGAGGGCGGAGAAGGTGGGGCCAGGGTGACTGAAGGCTGTACGAGGTTGGCGTCATTTGTACTGGAGGTGGGGGCCACTGCCGGTGAGGCAGAAGCTGAGGAGGTGGGAAGATTTTGGAAGTATTGCTCTCCTGGTTCATCCTCCTCAAAGCCGCCCCATGGGTACGCCTTAACACAAACAAAGAGCCATGCAGGGAAGGGAGAGGAGTGCTTTACAGGTGATAAGGTTTGATTCTCGTTACCAGAGGATGGGCCTAAGTTTAAACCAATACAGTGGTACATGTAATCAACGGAGATGGTTTAGCGTGAACACAACAGATACACGCAGAGAAACCTCACACACAGACCTGCTCCAGCTCTAGTTCTAGAGGTCTGTAGCCCTTTGACACAACTCCTGGCCTGGCGTCCAAGATCACACCCAGGTGAGGCTGGGCTAACTGCTGCCAGTGGTGCAGAGTGGCAGATCCTGGTGGAGAGAAGTGGATTTAACTTAATGTACTTAACTCCACCTGCACCATCTCCAAACACACAGACAAAAAAACATTTAGGGGAATATGAAACTTTTTCAACTGGCTGCTTTACCTTCAGCAGATGTTTTATACCTTAAATCTCCTGAAAATACTTGTTAGCATTTTAAAAGGCATTCCTATGTTAACAGGTTTTAAGAATTATGTATGTAACTGAGAAGTAACTAGCAGTAACAGCAACAAAACAGATATTGTGCACACACATATCTCAGAGTGTCAGCCAGTAATTCATGCAATTAAGAACAAAAAGTATTTTAGATCCTTTTCTCTAAAGAGCTCATCCGTTCAATAAAAAAGTGAAGATGAAGCTAATACTATAAGTGAAGAGGATGGCAGAGAAAGGTGAATATCAAAAAGCTATGAATATCAGAGGAATGATATGAAAAGGAAATGAAATGGAGGAGCAAAGCAGAATGAGAATCTTTTTATTAAGACAGCCACATGGATTAATGACAGAAAATAAACAGAGACAGCAAAGAGGTGACAGAGTGAGCAGTGAAAAAATGAAAAAGCTTTAAAAAATTCTAAGTTACGAATGAATATGGACAGAACAATGTGTATAAATATATAAGAATACATATAAACAAATCCACAACAGCAGGGCTTCTGCATGCCATCTGGGTGTTTGCAAGGTGAAGGGGATAGATTCAGTTTAAATAAAGTATAAAATATTACCAGCAGAGGGCAGCACAGGCCAAAGGAACCTG